TCTCTCTCTCTGTATCGGCCTAGCAAAAAGGGTCTCATCAAAGGAGACTCTTTGCCTAATTGAGTGAAATTGTGACAGCTCCTCTCTCTCTCTGTATCGGCCTAGCAAAAAGGGTCTCATCAACTAAACTAATATACTCCATGATTTCTTCAACAACTACATAGCTCAAAATTAAACGATTACAATCTGTAGCTCCAAAAAACCCTAGAGGTGAACTCATATCCTCAATGCATTAATGACATTAAAAAATACTGCATTATGGCCTGCTACATGAATTGGCATGAGAATGAGCAAAACGAGCAATGGTTTCTAGGTATCTTATAGCAATGTCTGAGAGGGTTTCTAGGGCTGAGTCTTAAGAAGAATCAATGTCTGAGGCTTCACAGATTTGAGAAACTGCTATCTTAACTATGGCATTGTAAAAAGATTTTTCATTGCTATGAGCTTCGAAGAAACCATTGGTGTCGGGGTTTCAGAGCTTGCATGGAGAGAATCCATGGCGGAAAAATCTTTTGCCAAACATTCAATCACTAATTTCAATTTTTAATCTTTTCTCTAATCTTGTGCATCCTCCACCTTTAAATCCCTTTTTGTTGATAATAGTACTAAAAGCCATTAGAAGCAAAAAAGGAGCTTCTTAAAAGACGAGGAATACTCTTCTGAAAATGGTGGAATTTTGATTGAAGTCGATCTCTTTTATCTTGTTTACTCTATTCTTTTGATGGTCCTCAAAAGCTACTGATGCTAGACTTAAAGGGATTTTTAGAGAGAGAGAGATGGGCAACAAGGTGCTAACGAAAAAATGTTGGAGGTTGGAGTTGCAAGGTTTCAAGGGGATTTTAGAGAATGAGACATTATAGATATCTATTATGTTAATATTGATATACATCATTATGGATACATATCGATATATATTATCCATAATATGTATTCTATATGAGTATATATCTTGATTATTATGTAATTATCAATAACTTTGGTCTCTATCCAGAACTGTTACTAAGGAGTCTTGTATATTCTTAATCAATAATACAAAGAGTTCTCTAAAATTCTAACATAGTATCAGAGCAAGTATTCTTAATCAATAATATAGAAAGTTCTATGAAATTCTAATATGATTTCAAATTATAATTTCATGGTATTAACATGGTATCAGAACAAGTATTAGGAAATTCTAATTTCATAGTATGAAAGCAAGTTTGCTTTGCCAGCTTCTATTCAAAACTCACATCCATTAAATCCATCATCTGGAATCTTTATTTGCCTTCAATCTAGTCGCATTTTCGACTCTATAGGAAACATCATTAGCTGCTGACGCTATCTATGTTTGGATCATTGGTTTGGACTCTTTATTTGCCTTCAGTCGAGTCGTGTTTTCAACTCTATGCAAAACAACCATCATCAGCTGCTGCTCTTCACATCTGCATCTGCTATTATGTTGTTGCCCTTTGCTTGGACGCAATGGTCTATTAGCATTGACCATCGCCTTGTACCTTGGAAGAGTCATGATGCAATCTTCATACTCTCGTCTATGCCCCTTGTCATCTCCGCTGAAAAGCCCTATCATCACCACCTTTCGGGTGCCGAGATCACAAATAGTGTTTTTAAGCCCTCTTCAATGACGGCCAAGTGTGACCCTCACCATGGAGACAACGCCTTCAATGACGGCCAAGTAGGACCCTCACTATGGAGACTTTGGACTCAAGGATGTCAATGATTTAATGCAATTGTTGTCACCATCAAAACCAAGAGGACCATTCCCTTTGTGGATTGGTGCCCTACTGGCTTCTAAGTGTGGTATAAAATTAATCGCTCAAGCATATGTTTTTTGTTACCGCTTGTTGTTGTTTTTTTCCTCCAAGATCTATTGCCAATCTGATATGTGAGGCTGAGAACTCTTCTGTTGGCCTTTAAAAATAGTCGATATGCCCCATCTAAAAAAAAAATCACCCTCTATATATTTTTTTGCCTCTGGATCTTGATCTTTAGTCCAGATCCGCCTCAAACCTTGCCAGCCACCCTGATTTGATAATATCATATGATTGATCTTTCTGTTATTCAATCATGTCTGATGATCCAGTTCTATGTTACTTACCTGATCTCATATGTTCTTGAGGTTGTCTTGTTCTTGAGGTTGCCGCTTTTTGTGATGCTCGATAAAGTAATCTATGCACCTAAAGATCACTTGGTCACGCTATGCACCTGAAGATCACTTGGTCACGCTATGCACCTAAAGATCACTTGGTCACGCTATGCACCTGAATAACACTATTCGTTTTTTGTAAATTAGTATTGTTTGAACTCCAATTGCTTTGCCTCAAAGCATCTTGAGTTTGAGATGGTGTTAGCCTATGGATATGTATCATGTTAATATTGATATACATCATTATGGATACATATCAATATGGATATGTGTTGTCCATAATCAGTATGGATATGTATATGTATGACTATCAGTACAGATATGTATATATATGAGTATACATCTCTTGATAAGATTAGATAGTAATTATCAATAACTGTTGGTATCTATCCCTATTCGCCTTATTATACATGTTCTTGTATATTCTTAATTAATAATATAGTATTATGAAATTCTAACCAAAGAGAGGGTAGCAAGGTGCTGGAGAGAGAGTTGGTTTTTTCGATTTTAAGGTGGAGGAGGCGAAAGAGAGAAAGGAGATTGGGAAAGAGGATGGAGATTTGACCTGAGATCTCAATAATTGAGAGAATCAAAGAGTTTAACCCCCAAATGACTTTAAGAATAGAAAAAAGGCTTTGTAATATTTTCAATTGGTATTTAAAAAACTTGCACTTTTGTGAATAACAAATTCTTTTTATTTGACATCCAAACTAGCCTTAATATTGGAAATCCAATATTCTCTCTCTTTTACTCTCTGAAGACCTAAAATGTGAGACATGGCGAACCCTAGGGATAAAAGGTGTCCTGTCGTCTCAATTTGCAGCCCTGCACAATGGGTCAGAGTTGAAGTCATGAGTATCTTGAATGCAGTGTCCTCAAACCGTCCAAAAATAAAAATTAATTTTTTTAATGTATTTCTTTCTTTGTGACTTTTTGTCTCAGTTGTCTACATCTTTGACCGTCATCCTGCTCACGTGTAGTATGCGTTCCATAGAGAAGGGCAACTGTAGAATCTCCTTTTTTGGCTAATTGTTTTTCTAGGTGTCCCAATCCTAAAATTATACCCTAAAATTAATGTCTTTTCTTAGTCTCCCATAATCCTTGAAAATGACCATGCACAGTCCAAGTGCAACCCTCTAAAATCAATAAAATTAGGCTAAATTTATCTCTAGATTATAGAGGATTTCACACGCTTTCAAGTGGTCTAAGAAACATGCAAGTTAGATATACAATGTCAAAGTTATGAACAAAAGGATATACAATGTCACAGTTATGAACAAAAGGATGTGTAGTGTAAGGTTGCAACCTAACTTGTAGAAATAAGGATACAATACAATGTTTATTAAACAATGTAAATTTGACATATCTTTTAAGATAACATCAATCCATGGCATGCCTTTTAATATAGTGTCCAAACTATACCGTTCAAATACAATAGACAATGTAGATTACTGCAACCTTATTTCTACAAATAAGGTTGCAGCCTTATATAAACTTTTCCCTGAACAAAAAACTAGACAATTTCTAAACTGTTCATTAGGTTCCAAAGAAAACTACATACCTAACTCCAAATCAGTCCTCTACAGTCTTTTATCCAACATCCTTTAAATTCTTGGATGCCTGGCCTCCATACATCTAAAGGGGTATCGTCAATCCATTAAATCATCTAAAACAACTCATAGAAGGTCTTGGATGAAAATTTTCAAATCATTCTTCCATCATCTTGTGAGCAATTTCAAATTAATAAAAGAACAATAACATTTTTAGTTCATAAAACCCTAGATCCAATTCTCCTTCAGATGACACCGAATCAATTGATTAGGGGAGATTGATCCTCATATGAATTTAAAAATAACCTAAAAGGAATCCTGTTGATGAATAAAAGGATTTGAAAGTTCGGGTGTCTAACACATTTGGAAAGTGGTCTTTTTGAGTTGAGAAGTACATGTTCAATTTGGTAGGCGTTTGACTCAAAATCTTTCCCTTTTAACATCAAGAGCAAATTATTAAGGAAAGGGGTGGGGTCGTTGTGGTAGGCCCCATACCTAGTTACCACAATGTTGTTTTCAATCCTACTTACTCCAGCCAATGACACCTTAAAAAAAAAAGCTAACTCTTTAATCTATTTGAAAACATGGGTAGGGGCCTTTCTTCGCCACAAAATTACTTCAAAAAAAAAAAATCAAATTATTTGGTTTAGTCAGAACACCTTTGCCTATTGCCCTCACTTCAACATTCAAGGATCAATTATCCATCTAGCATGAGAAAAACATAGTGTTATTTGTTCATTACCTCAAAATATTGTGAAAATGGAGAAAAAACAAAAAAAATGCCATGGAAAATGTACACTCTTCTCTAGTCGTGTGAGACACTTCGACGTTCAAATATCAAAAGAATGAACTAGAAGTTACATGCCAAAGCTGCAGTCTTCAGATTCAAGAGGTTTCATGTCCCAGCTAGGCTTGATGTGCAGCTTCACAAGAATGGTGTCCAAGATAAAGTCAAAGGTTCAATTGGCATGGGAAGAATCTATGGAAGAACAAATGTGTTGCCAAACTCAAGGCAGATATGTTGAAAAGAATTGCTATACATGGTCACCCCTGTCGCATAGAACTTCAGTTTCTGCTTTCAGAGTTTGGCACTGCATCCAGGCTTTCTTCGGCTCTACGGGTAGTTGAGAATTGGGCAGGCCGTGATTGAAGCACATGCAATGAACCTGAAATGATCAAAAGCTGAATTTAATAAATTTAATATGATGATGCTGATTGTGATGATAATCATAGTAGTCTTACAATGAAAACGAAAATGAAGAGCATATAATAAGACCATTTATTTTTTGTAAAAGAAGGTCATAACCACCATTAATAATTGGATGTGAAATCAAGCGTTAGGAGAACATTATTGATCACTCTCAAAGTCCAATAAAGAATTTCTTGAATTTTCTGATACACCATTAGCCCCATGATTTGATGGCAGATGGCTTGAAATGATTATTAGCTTCTTGTACAAAAGATGAACGGTCTTCTCGCATGCAATTCCATGGAAAATATTACATTAACATTGAAGTATTACCTTCTGAGGAAACTGAATCACTTGTCACTTGTGTTGGTCTAATGGGGTACTGTTGGATCTGACGAGGACCATGGGCAACATATCTCTCATAACCCGAAAAGCTGGCACCAGGATGCATATAGTAGCCATAGGGATACGTAGGATTTGTAGTGGTCGATCCTCCATACATCTGAGGGAATCGTGGGGAAAGGTACGGATTGTAGACGTTCTACATAAAAAGGCAAATTAAACTTTGTATGCTTCAAAAGATGAAATTAGGCATGATAAAGTAGTAAATATACTTCAAGAAGCTTGAAATATTTAGAAATGGGCTCAAAGCTAGGTGGTCAGGGTAGTGAGTTGCCACAGCTTGATATCTTGAGTTCCATTAGTACCCACAGGTAGGTGACCCATCCTTACTGGATTGTCCAAAAAAAAAAAATCGTACAATTGAAAAGTATTTTCGAAAATCTTATGCAGAAAAGGGGGATACGAGATGGGCAGCAAAACGAACCTGATGATACATGTAATCTGAATTGTACGCTGCATACCTGAAATGCAAGGAAACATAGTAAGTAAAGGTCTTTCCTCTACATTACAAAGGAAAAACTATCTACGAAACCCCATCTATAATTTTAAGAAAAAACATATTGACAACAGTATTCATGAATAAGAATCAAAGAAACAATTGTTTCTATCCACTCATAAGAAAGAGTAAAATGGACATGTCTAATTTCCACTGATTTTCGAAGTCATTTGTTACTCAGCAAAGGCATTTTTTTCTTAGTGATTGCCCAATATGTATTGTCGAGCATCGGCTCTAATAATTGGTTGAATAAGTGATAAACGGGAAAGCACAAAAGCGTGTCGTTCCAAATCTCACTGTGTATGGAAATATAGTGGGATTGTAAATTATGAGATTATTTATCGTTGCTACAAGAAGGTTATATTTACTCCTAGCCGGTCATTAGATATCAAATTGGATGACTATAGGTGTATCATGAAGTTCGAGAGTTTTTTATTTTTTTAACTTTGAGTCTAGTCAATAGCACTCTTACAACAACTATCTACAGATTTGAAATCTAACAGACAACAGCGTTTGTGTCCTCTTTGTACTAAAGATAAAAGAAAAATATATAGCATTTACTTTTAGATTTTTAGTAAAAGGAGACTGAAATTAATCTTGTCTGTTGGATTTCAAATCAGGTGGTTGTGAGTGTGTCATTTGACTAGACACAAGTTAAAAAAAAATTTATCAAACTTTGTGACACACCATCCATTTTCACATATAAGGGCTAGAAATAATTATGACCCCCTTATATCAAAGAAAAATGGTCTCATAAAATACAATTCCAAATGTAAATGGTCTCTTTGTATACTTTTCCTTACATATCAAAAATTTTAATTTGAAAATTACAGATCCAAAAACCAACGTGTTTGGTATGTTTCTGGACACTAAATTTATTTATCCCTCTCTTGAAATAGATTAGTAGAAGCAACATTCTGGAAAAGGGTTTATTGTTCGGCCTTGCCCGAGTCACTCAGAACCAGCAGCAATTAATTCTAAAATCAAGGTTTCTTTGAGCCACGTCCTTAAATTTTATGGATTTACTTTTGGGAGATGCAAATCTGGGGATCCTACCCTAAAAGGTTGCTGAAGGAACTCTTGGAATTAATTTGAATAATAACTTCGCTCGTTACGACTTGCCAAGATGCGGTAATTGTCAGCAACTGAGAGCATGTATACTGTGCTCCCAGGAGGTATAATTTATTTCTATTTCCTCTGTCGGAAGACCTACTTAGGATAATTTTTGCAATCTGAAATTTTGGAAATTATTTAAAAATTATTAGATGATTATTCTCAAAATGAAAACTGAAATTTGAGTTTTCTAATATTTGGATCTCACTATGTAAAAACTGGATGGTCTTTATTTAATCTCCGGACATTATTTCTTTTCAAGTGTACAGAGGATAAAATTAGAAAAAAAATTTATTGAGATTAACCTATGGGTTAAAGTTATATCCCCTAATTTGAGGTCCTAAATTTAATTCTAGATGGGATTTTAGCCTAGGAAGTAAATAAACAATATGCTCCTACAGGAGTATAATATATTTAGGCAGAAATAAATTACTTGAATTGGACAACAACGAGCTAACACAATCAGCACCAAAGAGCTCTCAAACTAAAAATACAACCATTAGAGAAAACTTAAGACATGAACAAAGAGAGGGAAGCATCACTTTCAATCAACAAATAGGCCTTATATAGATTGACAAATGGGATTTAATGGAATTTTAATGGTTATGAATTCCATGAATTTAGTGGGAATGAGGGATTATAAACTAGAAGTTTTTCATAGAATTAAAAGATGTTAGTGGGTGTCGGATAAAAAGGATGCTATGCCAAATGGTCATTCCAAATATGCATGATGAGTTGAAGACTTTTTTTACATAAATTTATTTTATGATGAATGTTCCTAATTTTCACCTCTTAAGGCAAATAAGGAAAATTTGTACAAGTGAAGGTATGAATGGGTTTGAATCTTCACATAGTGTTGCATGGAACATTTATTCGAGACTTTTAATGGACAAACCTTGAACTTGTTCCTTTAGTATATGAACTTTCCACGTATGGCACAAAACCTGTCTTCGTTTTTTTCGAAAGTGGAACAAAACCGTTTTCTCAGTGCCAATATCTCATTTTCATGAGCGCTCTAGAGTATTCCTAATTCTAATAAAAACAGGTTGAACTTCCATAGTCTATTTAGTAATGTTCCTCAAGAGGGTACTTGTAACTATCAACACCCCTCAAGAGGGTAGTTACAACTATCAATAGGGCAATCCAAACAGGTCTATAGTATTGTGCTCCAAAGCTCTAAAATCCAGAAGTGTGAACTTGGCAAATTAAGAGCAAGGAAAATACAACTGGCAACAACAAATAATAAGAAAGAAAATAAAGCAGAAAATAACGCAAAAAGAGCACTAAGATTTTATGTGGCTCAACCCCGAGGGTCACATCCATATAGGCATGATAAATTGAAATCCACTATATCAATGATTTGAGATACAAAAGGCATCTTACTATCTATCGATAATACCCATTTGAGCAACCAATGAAACCATTCTCCCGATTGACATAACATATTCGTCTTCTTTCTATTCTTACTTTTAACAACTATTATCAAACACACCAGATAGTGATACGGAAGCAACGAAAAACTGACTTTCTCTTATATAAAAGATATCACCCAAAATCTCTATGAGAACTGATTCTCTATAAGAAACAAACCTCTCTCTCACATGAAGCATGGGTAAATCGTTTCTCTCACAAGAAGCTCTCTAAAAGGTCCTTCTGAGCTCCTCCTTCTTCATGCAAGAGGCCCTTGCCTCTCTAGAGGGAAGTCTATTTGTCCCATAAGATGAACCAAATAGGATACACATATTCCTTTTTCCCACATTCCATTTTTATATGGTTCGGAATTCTATAAAAAAAAATCCTTATCCATTAGGAAATATATTTATTTCTTGTATAATTTGATTTCCTAAAAGCAAGAGGTTTCAAATCCTACAAAATAGCTAATAAATATATAAATTTGTTAATATTAATATCAATCTTTAAAATATAGGATATCCTATGGATGCCATTTTGGATATCACTATATACAGTAATTTCCACCTCGATATCAAAATGATCGCCTCACTGCTCATCATGCTAATATTCATTGGACAATTTTATGGAATCTTCCATTTTTGTCAAATAATTCCTCTGTCATTATGGCAGAAAAAGATTGTGCTTGACATCAAATTTCTCTACATCGAACTTTGCATTCGAAACTTTTGTTTGCTATACTTGCAACAGTAAACCAGGCTCTCATACCATATGTTGTACGCGGAAGCTCTAAAACCCGACATTTTAAAATTTGGCAAATAAAGAGCGAGAAGAACAGAACAGGCAACAAGCCAACAATAAACAAGGAAAATAAAACATGAAAGAAATAGTGCAAAAAAAATACTAAATTTTTTTGCAATTGACCCTAGAGGGATACATCCACAGGCATGGCAAACTGAAACCGGCTATAACAATGATTTGAGATATAAAAGGTATCTTACTATTTCTCCATAATACCCATTCGAGCAACCCTTGAAACCAATCTCCTGATCGACATCACATGCCATTCCTTCTTCTCTTTATTTTTGACAACTATTACCGAACACATCAAACAGAGACGTGTGGGCAACAAGGAAACAACTTTCTCTTTACAAAGAGCTACCACCCAAAATTTCTATGGGAATTGCTTCTTCACAAGTAATAAACCTCCCTCTTACATAAACTAGAGGCAAACCGCTTCCCTCACTAAAAGCTCCTCTAGAGCTCCTATTTCTTTGTGCAGGAGGTCTTCGCATCTTTCTAGAGGGAAGTCTACCTTTCCCATAAGGTGATCTAAATAGCGCAAATATATTAGTTTACATTTCTCATAAGGTGACCCAAATAACACAAACATATTATTTTCCCTTTCATTCTATATATATATAAAACGTTATGAATCTTAAAAAAAATACAAATCTTTATTCCAATAGGAAGTATATTTATTTTCTATATAAATTGATTTTTTAAAAGCAAAAGAAATAGAAATCCTAATAAACATTGAAGCTCTTCAATATCAATATCAATCCCAATAATATAAGATTTACTTACGGAGGTGATTTTAGATAACACTGTATCTAACATATACTCACGATATAAATGAAACCCAACCTTTTTGTGTCACAAAATGGCACCATTCTAGATGGGCGAGGAATCAGAACTTCATTTTGCCTTTTCCCTACCTTGCATAATATGGATTGTTCTTTCTTTCGAACATAGGGGTTGGGATTGTATCAATAAGGTAAGGTTCCCCTCAACTTGTAACTTATCATTATTGGACTTTAGCATCATATATTTTTCTAGACGTGGTATCTTGCAACGATTTTTCATAACTATTTATCCAAGTTTAGCATTAAATTAAGGGCAAAGTTTATATAAAGCCGAGGCTTTAAACGATCAAATTTGAGCCAACCTACCTAAAAAATTTCATTATAAGAGGTTTTTTTGATACCCAAATATCTTCAAATCAATCATCTCGATATCAAGATGCACGGACATGAGAAAAAAATGGATTTCAAGTTTTGAAAATAGTGTTGTTTGTAATATGTATTTGGACTGTCAATTTCAAGATTTTCAAGTTTTTATAGATTTGTCAATCTCTACTGTTTTTGAAGCTTTAAACTTTATAAATAAATATGAAAATATATTTTAAGGCTATTATAAAGATTCCCAATATTAAAACCACATTTCTCGACACTATTTGAAGGTAGGCTCTAATTTGATTGTTTAGAGCCTAGGCTCTATACAAATCACACCCTTAAATTAAAAGCCTCCATTAGTTTCTTCTAAGTAATTGACTCATAATGTGTGATTTGGACGATTGTAACATGTTTAGTTTGACTTTATTTGATCCACTTTAGTCACTTATTTTTTAGTAATTAGCTCGATACTTTATATTTATATATT